TTGAGCTTTAACTTAATCAATAGCTTAAGTACAGTCTTATAAGATAATTGTTATTTTGTGGTGGAAATTATTTTATCGGCTTACGGTACTTCGTATTTCGTTACAATCACTTTTCTGAAATATTAATTTTTATGGATGAACGGTTATTTAGCTGTTTGTGCATCGGTATAGTTATGTAGATGTATTTAGTAAATGCAATAATACTAAAGGTAACGTATGGAACATCATTTTTCTGAAATATTGATTTTTATGGATGAACGGTTGTTCATCTGTTTGTATTTCGGTATATTCGGTATAGAAAATGCGATACTACTGAAGGTAACATATGGAACTACTATAAAATTAACGCACCGCATCATAAGAAATAAAACTAAAGCAGAAGACGAGTTTCATATATTACATGTGGGATGACATGACAGGGTTATTTCCCGGGCTTCACAGCCTAGATAAGATCTATTTGCCTATCGTGGCAACTTCGGTATCCCATTAGCGGTTATTTTCAGAGGGTAGATCTACAACCACCCAGGAGAAAACCGCTTACTAGGCGCCAGTTTGTTAAAATTGTTATTTTAAAATTCAATTCGAAAGAAATAAACTTAAAAGTAAAAAAAAAAATATTTAATTAATTCTTGTTTTCTGATAATTATTCGATAAAATTAAATGTGTAAAAATAAATAGTGTAAAACTTCCTAAAATAACATAAATACTTTGTTTCATTTCTGTTCAAAATGATTATTTATTCCATTTAAATGTGTGTATATATTTAAATGTATATGTATTTAAAATTGTACATACACTTCGATGTTTTTAATGAGCGATGTTGTTGTTGTTGTATCCTATAGATGTGCTTACTCGGAAAAATTATGACTCGAGTCTCGAGTTGAAATTCACACAACTCGAACTAAACTCGAGCTACGCAACTAAAGTTAGCAGGACGAAACACAGTAAATGATTTGTTACAATTACTGTAAAAATATCGATTCAATAAATACATATACTTTTTTAACTTGTCATCCCTATGACTGAGTAAGGGCGTAACATCATGGTAGAGTAGGGTAGGGAGGGGGAATAGCGCTCACTGTGTAATGGCGCTCACCTCTATATCTCTGTCAAAATGAAACGTAGCAACACGCCACGTCGCGTGAAGCGCGGGGGGAGGGGGCCTCTAACAGACAGCGATACAAACGGACAATCAGCTCGCGTCATACGACCGTGAAGTGCGTTTCTTCGTTTACGGCCGCGCTGATCTAATTTTTGGTTAGGTATTTTTTGTCGGTAAGTCCAAAACTTTAATGCTTATTTAATTATTAATTTTACTTTTCTGACAATAAAACTATTCTATTTTGTGATAATGCAATCAATTTTCAACAATTGTGTAGAATTTTTTTTTAAATTTCAAATTAATTACAAAACGACCGTTTGGGGTTATACCGCTCATCTGAGCGCCATTACCCCTTAGTGACCTATTTTTTTATTGTTTTAGATATGCCAAGAAATCGTCAAAGGACCACCGCTAAAGCGGCTTGGACAGAAGAAAACCTTCAATCTGCTAAAACTGCGATTGAAGGAGGTTTGTCCAAAAGAAAAGCCGCAAAACAATATAACATACCATTTACTACTTTGAGAGATCGACTAAAAAATGAAAACATGAGCAACCCAAGACTAGGACGCAAGCCTGTTTTCACCCAACAGCAAGAATCTGAAATTGCTGAACAAGTTAAGATGCTGGGTTCGCTATACTATGGACTCAATGTCGCAGATTTGCGTAAACTTGTTTATAAATATGCTGAGCTCAACAATATTAAAAACAATTTTGATCAAAGCAGCAAAACAGCTGGATTGGATTGGGTACACGCCTTTATGAGACGCAATCCTTCAGTTTCTATACGCAAAGCTGAAGCGACAAGCTTAAATAGAATTTCTGCCTTCAACAAAGAAGAAGTAACACATTTCTATGATAAGCTTGGGGACTTAATGGAAAAACATAAGTTTATTCCAAACAACATTTACAATGCTGACGAAACTGGTATCACCACGGTGACAGACCCAGGAAAAGTGCTCGCCGAAAAAGGACAAAGAAGAGTCGGATCTGTTACAAGCGGCGAACGAGGAAGCAACATAACAGTTATGTGTGCGATGAGTGCAGCCGGAAACTTTATACCGCCTATGTTTATTTTTGCCAGACAGAGAATGACGCCTTTATTAGAAAAAGATGGACCAGCTGGTGCATTATACACCAACTCTAAAAATGGCTGGATAAACGAAGATTTATTTGTCCCTTGGCTCAAACATTTCGCAGCATTTGCTAAGCCTACCCATGAATCACCCGTGTTGTTAATTCTGAACAATCACAGCAGTCACATTTCCCTTCAAGCTTTTAATTTTTGCAAAGAAAACCACATCACAATGCTTTCCATTCCACCACACAGTTCTCACAGAACACAGCCGCTGGATGTGTCTTTTTACGGGCCGCTGAAAGCCACTTATAGGCATGAATGCAACAGGTACATGAAGACACATTTAATGTCTAAAATAACTCCTTACGATGTTGTAGGTCTTTTCAATAAAGCATATGTACAAGTTGCGAATATAAGTAAAGCAGAATCTGGATTTCGAGCCACGGGAATTTACCCATTGGACCCAAATGTTTTCACTGATCAAGATTTTCTGGCAGCGTCGCTGATGGCACAAGAATCGGTACAAATCGCTGAAAATCAAGACCCAAATGTCAAGAATTTTGAAAATGCGCAGTCTAATGGTATGGCCATAACTTCAGGACATATATCTCCTTTGGCAGGACCATCAAATAAGGATCATTGCTCTGAATCTGTTTTGGCAGTTGCTTGTAACCAAGAACTTGTTGATGAGCAAAGAACTCTGATATCTTTTGCTGCTATAGCTACGACACCAACTATTGCACCATCTTCTAAGCCAGGTCAAAGAAAGCGAAAACAACATGCTACCATATTAACTGCGACTCCTATGAAAATTATTTTAGAGGATAAAGAAAAGAAAAAAATAGCGAAACTCAATAAGACTGGAAAAGATGATAAATCAAGACTAAAACAAGTTGTTAAAGAAAAGAAGAACAAACATAATATGAAACAAAAATCTTACAAGAGAAAAATTTTACAAGAAAGTTCTTCAGAGAGTGAAGATGAAGAGCACCTTTGTGACGATGACAGTAATGACGAAATTAATGTGGATGATGAAAATTATAACAAATGTATTTTTTGCGAAGAATTTGGAAAAAATAACGAGTTGTGGTATCGCTGCACTATCTGCGGACTGTGGGCTCATGCTATATGTTCAAATGGATACATCTGTGATTTATGTGTCCAAAAATAAAATATTTCTATTTCTAATTTGTCTTACCTCTAATAATAATTATTATTTTATATTACATTATAATAATTGAAGTTGATTTGACATCTAAGACTTTACTATATTTGTTAAATTGAAAAAGGCTAATCTTACGTACAAATGGGGATGATTGATGCTAATTTGTGATTGTAGACTACACTTTTATTGTATAAGGTTGATCTCATTAATATTTCTTTAATTAAAATGTATCTCACATGTTGTATTCCAAAAAATATGTTTGAGCGTCATTACCCCGTACCCTGAGCGGCATTACCCAAAGTCTGGGGCAATGCCGCTCAAACATGTTTTTTTACTAATGTTTTCCTACTACTAGCAGGTGAAAGATACATGCTTTTGTTGTTAAATTGTTGATTAACTCAATAATTAAAGACTTTGTTACTTTTCTTCATTTTGATTTGTAATAAATAATTTAAAAAATACACCATGTTTTCCTTAAGTGAACGCCATACCCCCTCCCTACCCTAATAACTGACGTCTCTAATTAGGAGGTACGGCCACCCTTCATTCAAGACCCTGATTCAGGGTAGTGTAATAGGGACATAAATCAAGCAATATAGGGCTAGTAAAAGAGTAAGAGCGCGATTCGTTCGTTGAATGCGCGCGTGGTCTATGGTGCTAAAGCTTTTTCGGAAACCGGCTGGGAATGAAATCTTAAACACGGATGGATACAGGAAGTTTGTCGCTATAAAATCATTTTTATTTTTATGTTATTTAGGCTTCTGGCAACCGTTATTGCGTGAAGTTAATGATACTTAAAAGTATTTGCAAACAGAGGGACTAAACATAGTATCAGTGTGCTCAGAAAATAAGTGCTTTACAGACAGTATTAGGAGAAAAACGAGAGAAATTTGTGAACGACTCTCCACGATGTAGTAAAAATTAATGTGAAGAGCTTAGAATTTCTTTTGAACCCCCAAGACGAATCAGGAGGGGACGGGGACGAAAATGTAGATGTTCGGTTAACGTACGAGAACGAATTGAGGCAAACAATGTTTGCTTCAGTAGACAGAGTAATTGCTGAAATTCATGACCGATTCTAACAGCTACAAAATCTAGTGCAAAAATATTGGAACGGAGGTACTAAATTAAGATCAAGCTCCTTGGGACATAAATACAGAAGAGTTCCAACAGGAGCGCGCAAGTCTACGTGCGTTCGTAGCTGCGACAGACTTAGAATGTAAAAAGAGCTTACTAAGTCCGGAGGGCTATCTGGGTTTATTAAAATAATAAAAATGAAAAATAAAAATAATGCTGAGGATTTTTTAACATCTGCCGTTAGTAACGCATGTTGCAAGGCAATCGATTATTAATCGCATTGGACATAGCGATTCCTTTCAGAATTTTTTTTAACAAAAATTTTTTTTTCTAAATTCCTTGTGTTTTATAATGATTTACTATATTTACGCAAACACTACACAATGTGACTGTGACTACACAATGTGTTCCCATAGTGTCCGCCCCCTATCCCCCGTGACCATGTGTGCTGGAAAGCATCCGAAACGTCGAGAATTAAAAATAATTAAAATTAAACGCGATAAAATCCGTAAAAGTAGTTTTAATCAATCTCTTGTGTTTTGTTTTTATCACTTTGGTGATTGATTAACCTGGTTCGACATTCAGTTTTTTGTTTCTGCCTTTTTCATTTCATTTGGTTTCCTGTTTTCCTTTACATATACCAGTAATGTATAGTTTACAGTTACATTTGGCTCATCCGGAAGGCTTTCAGGAATTCTTTTAAATACTTTTTGAGGATTGAACGGAACTGTACCTGTTGCTTCGAATCCTTTTATTACGTTTTCTTTTTTATACATATGTACTTCTTGGATCACTTTTGCAAGTAGAAGCGGAAAGTGGGATTTATTAAACTCTACTTGCTTTGAATATTCATATTTGTTTGAGGTTAAAATTTTACGCCACACCTTTTTCAAAAGCCCAAAGAAGGCCACATCCAGCGGCTGAGTAAAGTGGTTTGAATTAGGTAGCAGTAGCAGTAATAAACCGAATGTCATATTTTTCGCATAATTTTATCACTTCCGCATTTATGTGACTGCAAAGGTTATTTTAGTAATGTTTTTAGTTTAGAAGGCTTGTTTTGGATTAAGTTTGAACCTATTACACTGTTTTTAGATCAATTACGATAAAAATAAATTTCACAAAAAATTGCTTATAACGAAACGGAAATATGTCAATTTTGTTTTCAATAGAAGGTTTCTCAGGATTAAGTCTGAAACTTTTACACTGTTTTTGGATTTCGAAAATGCCTTTCAGATTAATTACGATAAAAATAAATTTCACTAAAAATATGGCTGAACAAGGGACTCAATTTATAAAAAAATTAAGTCGTAGTGGAGAGCAGTCAAGAGGTTTATACAGAAAACAAAGTTATAACATTTCACATTACATTGTTACATCTATCAAAGCAGACTTTGGGGCAAGCTGACGTTCCATATATATATATATATATATATATATATATATATATATATATATATATATATATATATATATATATATATATATATATATATATATATATATATATATATGGAACTGGTAAGGTAGCAATTCTCTCGTTCCAGAATATGGATAAAATCAAGTGACTGTCGTGTAAATAACAACCACGTAACACCAACGAATAAATTAGATTTTATTGCAAATAGAAAAATATTTTACGGCTTCTTTATGAGTTTTTACAAGGTGTTACATTGTAATTTATAAGTTTATGGAGAAATCATAAAGTTCTCTTGCACAATATTAATAGCATATTATGCATCCAGTCCTTTCCATCCGGATTTTATATTACGTGAACAGATAAGTGTGAGATTTGGCATACATAGGCTGCACTAAAAGTATCGGGAATGGAATATTTCCACTGTTCCCGTCATATTAAAATCTTTTTAATTGAAAACTCCTTGGTTTTAAAAATTGAATACCATTTATTTATTTAAAAAAAAGATTCTTGGTCTTGTCACAACGTTTTGTCAAACTTGTTTAGTCGTTGAGAAAATGGAATTGACTCGAGAAAATTCAAGAGCGATGATTTATTATGACTTTCGAAGTGGTTTAACACAAAAACAGTGTGTTGACCGGATGATTTCTGCATTTGGTGATGAAGCCCCATCCAAAACCACAATTTATCGCTGGTTTGCTGAATTTCAACGTGGAGGTGTCAAGCTCAGTGATGATCCCCGTCAAGGTCGTCCAAAATTTGCAGTCACCCAAGAAAACGTTGATGCTGTGCGTAAGTTGATTGAGGAAGATCGACATGTAACATCCGCGAAATTCAGGCAACTTTAGACATTGGCAAGAGTCAAATACAAATAATCTTGCATGAACAATTAGGTGTAAAAAGTTGTTTTCCCGATAGATACCACATTCGCTCTGTGAAGAGCAAAAAGCGGCTCGCGTTACTTGGTGCGTCAGAACACTCGAAAGATTCCACGCAGGATCCTCAAATGCTGTATATATAGATATACGCGTACAAACCCGAAACAAAAAACCAGTCACGAGTTTGGGTGTTCGAAAATGAATTAAAGCCAACAAAAATTGTTCGTTCACCAACAAAAGTTCGTTCAACAAAAACGGAGTGTTGCAAAAAGAATGGTAGCCACGTTTGTCTCCAAAACCGGCCATGTTACGACTATTCCTCTTGAGGGACAAAGAACGGTTAATGCAGAATGGTATGCTAGCATTTGTTTGCCACAGGTCGTTTCTGAACTCCTTAAAGAGAACTGCAACCGCCGCATCATCCTCCATCACGACAATGCGAGTTCTCACACCGCACATAGAACAAAAGAGTTTTTAGAGCAAGAAAACATAGAATTATTAGACCATCCGCCGTACAGCCCCGACCTAAGCCCTAATGATTTCTATACTTTCCCTAAAATAAAGAATGAATTGCGTGGACAGAGATTTTCATCACCTGAAGAAGCTGTAGACGCCTACAAAACGGCCATTTTGGAGACCCCCAACTTCCGAATGGAATGGTTGCTTCAATGATTGGTTCCATCGTATGAAAAAATGTGTCAAATTTCGCGGAGAATACTTCGAAAAGCAATAAATACATTTTTAAATAGTAATGTTATGTCACTTCCTTGATTCCCGAAATTTTCAAATTAAAGTTTATACAGAGGAGTGCAGAAAGCTAAAATTTATAAGTAAAATTTGTTAGATACAAATACATTAAATTTATTAAATAGAGGAATGTATTGTTTACGTTCATACTACTACATACATTGAAGTAATATGTCTAGTAGATTATATTGTTAAATAGGTAAATTATATCGAGAACAAGAAGACAAAAATATATAATATAATATTTGTTAAAGTATATTAAAATCCCTTACCAGTTGAAAGTGACTTTTCTGTTATCCAAACTTAAAAATCTAACAATCAAATTAGATAAAACTACAAAGTTATTCTGCTTCTATATCTTTATATAAACATAGGTTCAGTACAATAATATTTTTTTAAACTATAATTATAGTGACGTTTGTCCGTAGTAGCTCAGGGGTATCAGCGAAGTATGCAAGCATGGTTTCTATCCCCGCCGGCATCAATGAAATTGATAATTGCAATATTTCCAAAACATGTAAAGTCCACCAACACGCAATAGAACTCCTATGTATATATTTGTTTATAGTGTCGCTTTTTCGTTTCATGGCATTTTTAAATCAAAACAATTCTAAAGAAGTTTCTCTTCAAAAAGAAATCAAAGAAGAGATTAACAATTACTCAAATTTACAAAAAACATATATTTTAATTTATGAAAACATAAGGTGAGAATGACAATGCATTTACCGTGTAGTAGTGGCATTATTAAACACAGCCTAGATTATTATATTAAACTGGGTACGATCAGCAACGTCAAAGATGCGCGACGTTTTGTATTGCGATCGTCAGTCCGTCTGTCAACCGTGACAATTACAGCCAATAATCGCTCCTACAGTGACGTCCATGTCTAGCAGTAGGCTTTTACGGGCTGATGACGACAGAGAATAATACTAGATAATTCTTTTGACATTTTGAGTCATAAAGTAATGCGACAAAAGTCTTCAGTCTCTAATCCCCTCTAAACGTTAGAACCGCACTTGCAAGTTGCGTTGTTAATTTTCATAGCAAAGTGTGAAATGTCTGAAGTTGAGTGTTTGCTGAACAAGGTCTCGGATTTGAGGCGACTAAATCTAGTCCAGTTCAATCCTCAGAAGACACAAGTTTGTGCGTTTACTGAGCTGGGGGGACGCTCGCCTCCGCGCCTGTGGCTTATTGGTCGCATTCGGCGATCAGCCTCAGTCGCTACGGCTCGCACGGGTGCCTACGGGGTGGGCAGGAGCTGCTCTTATGCGCTTACGCTACGCCTTTACAAAATACTCCAGGGCTAGGGCAGATATTACGTGGAGACGGGGCGTTCTGATTCGTTTTTAGAACAGATTCGACACAGAGACCAATCTTATCTATAAAGTCAGCTTGCCCTAAAGTCTGCTTTGATAGTGGTAGATGTAACAATGTAATGTGAAATGTTATAACTTTGTTTTCTGTAAAACCTCTTGACTGCTCTCCACTACGACTTAATTTTTTTATAAATTGAGTCCCTTGTTCTGCCACGCTGTCCGTGAATTTCTGCAATATCAGGGGACTTCACTCCAACCTAAACGCCGTCCACTACCATCTCGAGACGGCGAGGCCGGCTCTGCTCTTTCTGACCGAGACGCAGGTGTCCTCTCCGGCTGATGTCTCGTATCTCTCCTACCCGGGGTACAAACTGGAACACTCCTTTGTGCCTCGGGCTGGAGTTTGCGTTTACGTCAGAGAGGACATCTGTTCTCGACGCCTCGGCAGACTTGAAGGTTCGGACCTGTCCATCCTTTGGCTACGCGTAGACAGCGACGACCATCCGCGCATCTACGGGTGCCTCTATAGGTCCCACAGCGGTAATGCCGAAACAGACCGACTCTTCGACCACGTCCAAATGGCTGCAGATTCGTTGCTACAGCAGATCCCCTCCACAGAGATCGTGATCCTCGGCGACTTTAACGCCCATCACGCCGAATGGCTCGGTTCACGTTTAACCGATCATGCGGGGAGATCTGTTCATGATTTTGCCTTGTCATATGGTCTGACACAACTGGTTACTTCGCCTACGCGGACTCCAGATGTGGAGGATCATGCACCTTCCCTGTTGGACCTTCTGCTGACCTCTCACCCGGACGGATATCAGATTTCCGTCGACGCCCCTTTAGGCTCCTCGGACCATTGTCTTGTCCGGAGTGTGGTGCCACTCACGCTGAAATCGCGGTTGCATTCTGCAGGCTGCCGCCGTGTTTGGCACTATAGGTCAGCCGATTGGGATGGGATGCGGTCTTTCTTTGCATCCTACCCTTGGGGGCGGGTTTGCTTCTCGCCGGACGATCCCAACATTGTTGCGGATTCTGTCGCTGATGTGGTACTTCAGGGTATGGAACTTTTTATTCCTTCCTCTGTGGTGCCCATTGGAGGCAAATCTCAGCCATGGTTTGGTCGCTCCTGTAAAATAGCATCATGCTATAAGCAGGAGTGCTACCAGGCCTGGGCTGACGCATCAGCGTCCAGGGATGTAAACACCAGCGCTCTAAAAAAGAAGTATAATTCCGCCTCTAGGTCCTTCAAAAGGGTCATTGCCAAGGCAAAGTCAGAGCACATAGGCAGAATTGGCGAGAAACTAGTTCGTCTTCCTTCTGTAACCCGTACATTCTGGTCTCTCGCCAAGGCTGTCCAGGGGGAATTTCTGTCAGCCATCTCTTCCATCTCTGCACAGGGAGGACGACTCACTGGCCCACACCGCAAAGGAGAAAGCCGATCTTCTAGGCTCTTTCTTTGCGTCTAACTCGACTCTCGATGACGGGGGGAGTACGCCGCCGACCATCCCGCGGTGTGAGTGCTCCATGCCGGAAGTGCAGTTCACTCAGCGCTCGGTTCGCAAAGCACTCCTCTCCCTGGACATCCACAAGTCGAGTGGGCCTGACGGAATCCC